CTCCACTCTCGATCTTCAACCAAATATTGACCTCGCAATTGATGGTGCGGACGAGGTGGACCCAAACCTCGACCTTGTCAAGGGCCGTGGCGGCGCGCTATTGCGTGAAAAGATGGTGGAAGCGGCGTCGAAAGCTTTCATTGTTGTTGCTGATGATAGTAAATTGGTATCTGGGCTCGGCGGAAGTGGCCTCGCCATGCCAGTCGAGGTGGTTCAATTCTGCTGGAAGTACAATTTGGTGCGGCTCAGCGAGCTGTTCAAGGAATTGGGATGCGATGCAAAACTGAGATTAGGGGCGGGCGAGAAGCCTTATGTGACTGATAATGGCAACTACATTGTTGATTTGTACTTCAAGACTCCCATTAAAGATGGGTTCGCGGCCGGAAAGGAAATTTCTGCTCTGGAAGGAGTGGTGGAGCACGGGCTGTTTCTGGGAATGGCTACGTCTGTGATCATTGCAGGAAAAAATGGGGTGGAGGTGATGGCCAAGTGAGAGGTGAGAAATGGAACTTTGTTTCTTGTTGTTGTTGTGATATAACCCACCGTGAGGTGATTTATTTATGGGGTTTTCTTATTTGTTGAAAAATTTTGGATCTTTATGAAATTGTAGACTAGTTGTACAATTTGGTCGCTTATTAATTGGCAAAACTTGAATAATTTGAAATGAAATGTTTCATGCTCATATGATATTCAAGCATTCTCTACCTTTGCTTCAATTATTGTATTGTAGTGTTAAATATAAATGCTCTGGCATTAGGAGGCAATTTGTGGAATTGAAACCCTTTTTTGTAGTGTAAGTTCAAGTTTTGAAAACTTGAAGCTGGATTTTACAATAGGTTTCAGATTTTAGCAGTAGAAGCTATGAAATCGGTCTTTCTTTCTTTACCATAGATTCAGTGTAGAAGGCAATGCATTTTGGATCTAGAATTGAGAGGGTCTGTCATTCTAGATTCAAATGAGATTCATTGAACCGTTTCTTGATTCTACTTTAGTTTCTTTGCTAAATCTTGCTGTGGAGGAGAAGCTACTATCTTATTTGGGTTGAACTCTTTTTGACAATTATCTCATATGAGTATTTAACCAAGAAGTGTGAACTGCCATGTTAAAATTAGTTTCGAGGAGCATTATTAGGAATAGAGCTGCAGCCTTACCCTTATTCTTAATGTTTGTCCTTAGCAAGAAGGCTATCATTACGCTTACCCTACTTGCAATTGCTTTTTTAACCAATAAAATTTTTTTCTAGGATCAGTTTAGTAATGGTTTTCTATTTGCAATACAAAGACTTAGTTTATGAAGTTAGAAGGTGGAATAAATACTTATGTTGTCTACATTAGGTCTCGTATCTTAGTGTTTTTTGGAATATAACTACTCTAATGGTATGATGAAAGCTTTAAGCCTTTTAGAAGCTATTAGTTAAGTAGGACTTGATGGATCTTTAGTGAAGTTCATGGCATCTGGGGTACTTGATACATGGATATATAGCAGGAGGTCATTCCTCCCATCCTCTCCTCTTTCCTGGACTCCACTGCTTCCACCACAGTGGACTTCATTTTGGTGCGGCATTACTATTATCTAATGTGAAGTTTGAAGAAATTTGGTTGAATTCTTATCATGATCCTTTTTTTTTCTTCTTCTTTTGGCTAAATCAATAGGCAATTCTTATCATGATCCTTTTTTTCTTCTTCTTCTTTTGGCCAAATCAATAGGCAATTCTTATCATGATCACCTTAACCACTGGTCAAATGTTCTTTTTTTCTTATACTGCCTTCCCGTGAAGAGAATTTTAAGATAATATTTGAAGATGTTTTGCTTGTTAAACCATGCTTTTATTCTGTGGTTGGTCTTTTGCAGAGTCTTGTTTCACCAGTTTTAAAGTAAACTATTAAGAAAGGGAAGAGACCTTGATTTTGTCAATACTTATAGGAATTTCTTTTTCTTTTTTTTTTTTCCTCAGAACTTGAATTGAATTTCTGTGTTCCTTTTACTTGATTTTCATTAAGGAAAACTAAAACAGCATATCATGTGTAAGAATCATATAATAGATAATTGTAGAGAACTTTTGGGGGGGCGGGGGTGATAAATTATATGAAGCATGAGACATACTGCTTTATTGATAATTAAACAAAAACTATGTACTCAAAACAATCATATAATAGTTCTCTACACAATAATCATCCTTTGCTAGACCTGTATCTTTATTCATTTATTATACAAAAGCGATATCATATGTAAGAATCAACAATGCTGTGACAATCTAAACATAATCAACAACACAACATAATGCAATAAATCCTGAAGGCTGGGAGCCTGAGTCTACTTCCTACTTCCACAGAACCATAGCCATGGACATGATGAAAACAGCCACCAACTGGAACTTCTCTGGCAGGAATGTAGCGGCTGGTAATTTACAATTTGAAAGAAAGTCAGTGTTGAATTAGAAGCAGATTATAGATAAGATTTTTAGACTGTCACTATTAAATTACACGTCAAAGATGTTTTAAGTCAATTCTGTAGTAATTAAGCTTTGAAAAACAGAGCAGGCAGCTGTCTTCTAGAAAGCTAATGAAAGTTGGAAAAAGAAAAAAAAATAAAAAATCAAAGGTTTGATCTAAGATGCAGGTTCTCCTCATCCTAGTTCAATTTGAAATATTGCTTGGTTCTTGAGAAAACAAATGCAAATCCATTAAAAGGTGGGGGCAGTAGTTCATGTCTCACCCTTTCCAGTATCTGTTGTTGCACTTGTATTTTCATTTGCTGGAAAAAGAAAAAAAAAAAAATCAAGGGTTTGGCCTAAGATGCAGGTTATCCTTGTCCTAGTTCAATTTGAAAATATTGTTTGGTTCTTGAGAAAACAAATGCAAATACATTAAAAGGTGGGGGCAGTAGTTCAAGTCTCACCCTTTCCAGCATCTGTTGTTGCAGTTGTATTTGCATTTGCTGGAAAAAGAAAAAAAAAAAAGAAAAAATCAAGGGTTTGACCTAAGATGCAGGTTATCCTCATCCTAGTTCAATTTGAAAATATTGTTTGGTTCTTGAGAAAACAGATGCAAATCTATTAAAAGGTGGAGGCAGTAGTTCAAGTCTCACCCTTTCCAGTTTCTGTTATTGCACTAGTTTTTGTACTTGCCACTGAAATCCCAAGACTAGCACAATCCGACCCGAGAGTACCTTTCAAAAACACATACAAAAGGAAACAAAAAAAAAAAGATATTAAAAATTTTAACTAAGAAATCATTGTTTTCCATAACAAAAATTTCAACGTTGTGTTCTTACAATTACTGTAACAGGGGAAGTAAGTTATGTTGAGAAGATTTGAGTATCCAGGGTTGCATTTACACTCATGTTTGTATATTTCCGTTTGCTTGCATGTCCCTTCTCCACAGTACATCCAATAGCAAGCTATAAAAAGGAAAATCATCAACCAAAACAAGCAGAATCAGAAAAACAGAGAACACAATCAAAGAACTGAAAATTAATCTGATGATTTCTTGAGAGGATTACGATCAAAGGCAGATAAATTATATGGAACTTCTTTCTCAGGAACTGGAGGTGGGGCTGGCTGGCAAGAGTAATCCAGAGTACCTGCAAAAAAAAAAAAAAAACCATGTTTTTATTAACCATGTCAGAACAGTTTCACTCAATAGTTTAAGTCATCGTGTGAGAGCTCAATAATGGTTACAAACTCAATCCAAAACTGAATATGAGAGCTGAAATCAGCTTGAAATAATTAAAAGTGACCATGTTTGGTTTAACTGTTGGAGAACAACTATGTTTTCTCTAATTGAATTATAGATAATAACAAGTATTAACTATTTGATATCCTTTACTAACAATCAACTATTCCTAACAGTTAAACTAAACAAGGCCACAACTTATACCAAGAATTGAATACCAAACGGCTTTAGACTCTTATACCATATCAAGAACGTTTCATTTGAAAATTTGAATTTCAAGGTTGGGTTCTAAGAAGAGTATTAATTTCTGATAAGCCAATATAAAAATGGTATGGGAGATGGAAGAAACAAAGGAAGAAAGCTTACAATTGGGAATCAAACATGGAAGAAACTTGAGATCATTATTAACATCATCATCTTTGGTTCTCTTCCAACCAGGGTCACATTCACAGATGTAATTGAATGGATAGATTATGTCTGCTTTGCATGTTCCTTTCCCACATTCCACTTCGTCGCATACCTTCTCTGTTTTTTTTTTTTTTTTAAATAAAAAAAGAAAATTGCTCAGTTTGAATCTGAGAAGTTGCAGAAATGGAAAAAAGTAAGAGAGGAGGAGATAGAGGTACCATAGAAAGGATAAAGAGCAGCCAAGGGAAGAAATGCCAAGAAGGCAGCAACAAAAGCCATAGAAATGGAAGATATCATTTTCTCCAATAGAAATGGAAATGAAGAGAAAGCGGAAGCTGGTTTTAATCCAAACAAATGGGTATTTATATAAGTTCAAAAGGCTTTAGAATTTCTTAGCAACCAAACCAAAAAGAAAGAGAAAAAATATACTAAGGATGATCTATTAGTTTGAATAAAAGATACTCGATTCGTAACTTCTAGATAGATACCGAGATATTAGCATTAAATAAAAAGAAAAAATATGGGAAAAGAAGAAAAACTGATTTCTTCACATACGTTCATTGTCTTTTCTTAGTAGAAGCTTCTGGTAACCTATGATAAATTCAACCCCTTATCCTGTTTTAGTCCTCTGTTCCTTTCCCTCTATTTAATGTTTGATTTCAGAGAAAAGAAAATACCAAAACGTTTTGACAGAATATCTAATGTTTGTTGTTATTATTGGACATCTTACCGTTATCTTGATTGTCCCTTTTACACTTAATTTTTATATTATTGTTGTCAAAGTCATTGATGTCCGTTTTCTTTGAGAAATGCATTGCGTGCACTGTTAGACATAGTAACTTTCTGCTCTGGCATATTTACCCCTCACTCCACTCACTGTTTATGTAATTAATCCCAATGACCCAGGCTCAGGGAAGGGTATTTTGGAGAATTTGAGGTTGCCGTCTAAGACAGCAACCTATAGATAATAAAGAGCAGATGGTTCCATAATCTGGTTCGAACCCTAACAAAATGTAATATCTTCTTAATACTCATACTTTGTTTTATTATACTTTGAGTTGTACCAATTCACATTCTTAACACCAATGACTTGTGAGTTTGAGTGGAAAAAATTCGATTTTTTTTAAGTAAGATCTCAAAATTGAGTCTTATAAATAAAAAAATAAGTTTTAAAAGACTTTCCTCTTATATGAGGTTTAATCTGATTTAATTTTAAATTAATTAGGACTTAATATGACTTTTGAATACCGAAGAATTAGTAAAAAAAAAAAAAAAAAACCTCACATTCTTAACTTACCCGACCCTATACCCACGAGTGTTTCAAATGGTCAAGGTTTTAAGATTTTAAGTTAAAATTATTGACCTTAAATGTTAGGGAAAAATCAAGGAAATTTGGGAATTATATCTTATTGTGTAAGTTACTCCACTTGCATGAAGGGGTGAAGGTAAAAAATAATTTCAAGGGTGATGAAATGCTATTTGAGATGCATACGGCAAAATTGAATTTCTTGATTGGCAAATAAGATTAATACTTAAATGTATAAAAATTAAAATTTTAAGAGCCTTAAGTATAGAAAAACCTATTAAAATTTATGTGTATTTAAATTTTAATTTAAAACACAACTTCCATCACAAAATATTACTCAACATGTTTTATATACTAAACGTAAGTGTTTTTAAAAAATTATAATTGTCTAAAAATTGTTTCAGATCTTCTATCTACCATATTTAGGGCATATTTGGTGAAACTTGTAAGAATTTCAGCTTTTTTACACTATTTATATTTTATAAGTTTAAATTTTCCTCTTAAAAATTTACCTTTTTTTTATTTCTTTTTAATATTAAAAAGACCTTAAATCTTCAAATTTGTGCTTTTTATAAACTTCATTTTTATTCACTTTTTTCTATTTTTAAAAGCAATTTTTAAATTTTTCATTTAATAAAAATTTAAATATATCACTCATAAACAGTACAAAAAAAGTAAAAATTCTTACAAGTTTCATCGAACATGCTCTTATACTCCTTGGTCAAAAATAGTCGTTTCTATACTATGAAGGGTGCATAATTTAGAAAAAAAAATTTGGCCCAAATTAAATTAGTTTATTCGGCATTAAAACAATAAATTTGTTTGGATACTTTTCATTATTTTATAGAAACCGATTAAGTAATGTTGCTAGATATTCTTGACTTGTATAATACTAAGGAAAAAAATATTAGGCCCAAACTTATCTTGTTAGGACTTAAAACCATGAATTTATTTAGGTGTTTTTCACTATTTGGAAGAACAGAAGCCTATTGATACTATGTTTAATGTCATTAAAAATCCCTAACTTTGTAAAATGAATAATTGTCATCCTTCTTCTTTAAAAAGTTTATAAAAACCCCTTAACTTTAAAATATGGGCAATCATCATCCCTCGTTAAAGGACTTCATAACTCCGTTTATCCTTCGGTTTCGTTAAAATGCTCCCAAATTTAATGCTAAAAACATTATTGGTCCCTCAAATTTTAGTTCAGTACACTTTAACTTTCAAACTATAAATTTTTTCAATTTGATCCCAATTTCAACTTTTCTTACTAAACTATAGTCCCTAAACTTTCCTTTTAAAGAGTTACACTTAATATCAAATTTTCAAATTCCATGTATTCTAGTCATTTTTTATACAAATAATAAAAGTCATGTAAAATTTAATAATATTGTATTCAATTCATCAAAATATCAATAAAATTAAGGCTAAAATAGTAAATTAAATATATAAGTCATCTAATTAGAGTAAAAAATTACCTAATTTAGGATCCTTAAAAATAAAGCAATGACATTTAATTCTCTATATACACATAACTCACATCAAAAGAAAAACAATATGAGAACAAAAAGGGTAAAAATGAGATATTTGCTTCTTTTCTTGCTTATGCATTCATAACCAAAGAAACAAAACATAAAGTTATCATCAGCCCACAATTTTCGAATGACCACATTCACCTTACACTCAGAAGTCATATCCAAATCCTTTGCAATTTTATCATTTTAATTGTAACACTTTATAAAATTCTCAATTGAGTATTAAAGACTTTTTAAAGATAAGTGAGTAACAAAATTTTAATTTTGCATCTTAATGATATAAATTTTTATATATTCTAATTTATTACTTTAAGCTTCATTTGGTTGATATTTGAATGATTACATGTGATTTGAAGAAAAATTACATGATTTTTTATTTGTGAGAAAAATATTAGAATGCATAAAATTAGAAAACTGTTTTTTCTAACCCATATCCATTTTTCCTAGCTCGTGCTTAAGAGTGTATTATTATACCTTTTATAATCATTTTTTATAAAAAAAAATATATAAGTAAATATTATTTTTAACATTAATCTACGTAGAAGATTTTAACTGAAGTAATGATGGATTTAAAATCAACTTTTATTTTTTTATGCAAATTAATTACAAAAGATGTACCTAATACATTCTTAAGACACAAGTTACAAAATTTTTAAAAAAATTTAGAACTCAAGTGCAACTCTTTCAAAAGTTTAGGGATAAAATTGTAATAAGAAAAGCTAAAATTGGGACCAAATGGAGTAAAATTAAAGTTTGAAGATCACAGTGTATTGAAACTAAATTTAAGGGACCAACAATGTCATTCTACCATTAAATTTTGGAGGTATAACTATACGTGAACGGAGTTATGACGCCTTGTACGGAGGGATGACGATTGCCCATTTCTAAAGTTGAAGAACTTTTATGAATTTTTTTTAAAAGTAGAAGGATGACAAGGCCCTTTTTTGCAAAGTTAAGGGATTTTTAATGACATTAAGCCTTGATAACATTACTAGATATTATTAAGTTCTATAATTAGTAGAGTTTGGTAGCACGGGCCACATAGATTGCCTTATGTTGCTTGTCATTGTCAATATGTATAGCTCACTTTGCCCCCCAACAGCCCCAATGTGCAGAAAAAGATATATCATCATGAGATTAATTAAGTTAAATCACATGTCTAATTCATGTCTCAAACAATTAAGATTTCATTATCAATG